TCCTACTTGAAGAAAGAAAATTTGTTTTGAATTGTTCACAAATATTTGCATCTTAACTATTCAAAACTCAAAGTGCTAAATGGAAAAAAGGTGAATAGAATAGTGTCTAAATATTATATATATTTCATTAGACATAGACATTTAATTTATTTCAAGTCCTACATTTTCGCCATTAAGAAGAAAGGAGGTGTCCAACGAATATAGAAAACATCTAAACTTTGTAATGGAAATGTATCAAAATTATCATGTAAACAAATAAAAACCAGATTGTCAAAAAAATATTCTGTCATTATAAACGTCAAAAAATTTCCAGTATAATTCGCTGTTGGGTACCCACGAGGAAAAAATTTCCACTAAAATTCAACCGTTGCCATGGTGATCTATCAAAAATACACGTTTTGATTGGTTAAAAATTACAGGTGTGGAATTTTCTTAGAAACGCGTTGCATATACCCTTGCGATTTTTTTCCTTGGCTGTAACCGATTTTTAATTAAAAAAAAAAATGTTTACTTAATTGGTGGTTGAAATTTACAATGTCAAAGGTGGAATATTTAATTTTTAGGCTTAAATTTTATAAATTATGATTTATTGACATGTCGACATTTGACATAGGACATTTCAATAATTATAATTAGGTAATATATTAATCTAAAATATTTGTTTTTACTTTTTCATCGTGAATTGAGGAGCATCCGTCCAAAACCGGCTAAATCCATTTTATTCAGTTTTTGGTTTTTTTTATTTCGCATCTTTGGGTTCATTTCTATTGACAACCAAGATAATTCTGTTTAAATCCGACTATATCCATGTTAAAATCACATTTAAAAGTTAGCTTTAGGAGTAAAACCGGCCAAATCCACGTTTTTATAGCAAACCCGGCTTTATCCAATAAATAATAATGATGATCATGTGGCTTGGATATGTCGATACTACTACTAAAATTTGTTCTGTTTTTTCATGTTTTCACTAAATTTATTTTGTTAATATTTTTGAATAATAAAGGTTTTTTTCACATTTTATTCGTAGGTTTTGAGCAAAACCGGCTATATACAAAACATTTTTTGAAATTTTGGCCTAAATATAAAGTTTTTGAAAACGAAAGTATGTCTTATACAAGTACCACAAAGCCCACAAAAGTTTGCTTTTTTTATCTGTATAATATATATATATATATAATATATATATATATAAAGGCCAGGAAACCGACAGTTTTTGCCATTTTCCCAACATTTTATTAAAAATTATTTTTTTTTCTCAATCAAAGGTACAATTTTAATATGAATTATCATTTCAAACTGATATCTACATGTGAATAAAATTTGGGTTAAACTTAATTAACTAAATACTCTAACAATTTCACACATATATGTTATAGATTACCTAATATAAACGTTTTAACGATTTAAATAAAGCACAAGCAAATTTAAATAAGATAATTCAGAATAGATATCTCTATACACAAAGAAAAAAAACATAAAAAAATGAATCATTCAACACATAATACGAAATGCTGAATGACCTCAACAGATACCTGTCGATTGTTATGTAATATCTGGGTCAATACACTCTCTTGCAATAAGCTGATTCCAAAATCGAAAGTGATATCTATGTGTCCTAATATATTCCTAAGTAGGTATATCTATACATAAACAGATGCGAAAATTATTTAGATCCGGCCTTATGGAGACAATAATTTATGCAATTATAAATATTTGAAAACTGACTTTACATTAAATTATGGGTTTAGAATGTTTGTATTTGCTGTAACATTATTTAGTAAATATTAAATTTATTCTGCAAGATTAAATTAAACTGTTTTTTTTGTTTACCTATAGCTGTATACAGCTTTCCATAGTATATATAATGATAAAATATAAAACTTTTGGTTATTTATTTTAATGTATACGTAACTTATTTTTGATGACCAATTATGAATTTTAAGACAAGTACATACGACCTTTATACCTAAAACAGCAGAACTGATTGCTATAGTATCATCAAACGGAAACGGTCTTTGTTAAAAAAAATTAATGTAAAAGGCTTGTCCAATTTGTATCAATTAATTAGCATCCATTCCGAGCTCTTATTACGTAGGTTAACAATAGATACTTAAAATTTTAATTTACATAAACTTTATATGTTATGTTGTATTAAATAATATAAACAATAAAATCCAATGTCATCAGTGTACACACTAAAGAAGTCAATTCCCATATCGCGCCATTGTATCTCATATCTCATCTATTATCATATTCATGGTTTATTTTTAGAAAGATTAAGAACATTTATTTTTTTGAAAAAACATGTTTATAATATTTTTTTTTACAAAAATTTATGTCCAAAAGTTTGAGTCAGAAAGTTTTTTCCAAAATGTACAGGTTGGTCCACGTAAGATCCAGAAACTACTGTAGTTACAATCAATTATAAGGGATTTTAATCCTCAAAAAGGAAGGAAATTTAAAAATATATGGGGTTTTCCATTGACAAACATTTGTAACTTGTAGAATCGCTATTTATTATAAAAAAAACAATTTATATCGTATTACATTTTTCAGATAATTAGACAAAATTAGCGTTAAACTGACAGATAGATAACCTTTTGTATTTAAATGTCAGTGCAACTTTTGGGTTTAAAGCATAGTACACTCACAGGCAAGATAATCGATCCACACAAATTTTCGATGAATTTCAATCGCAAATAACTTTTTTATTTGATTTCGAATTTAAACAAATATTAAAGAATATTGTAGATGGAATGGAGAATCGCTCACATTTTAAAAATTACTAAAAAATACACGTACGTTTATAATATACAGGTTTAAACAAAAAGATGTTTTTTACCATAAGTTTAAGACACTCTGTAGTGGCAAAACCGTATATTGTTCTAAATTAAATTTTAATTATCAAGTCACATCTATTTTTAACAGTTTTGTTTTTGGTTTACCTTGATATATTTATTTTTGTGGAAAATATGGATTTTTTTAATAAACATTGTAATTTCCAATATTTTCTTGTATGAAGAACTAAGGTTGCTATGGTCCATCCATAGCCTATGGAGGATGACAGTGACAGTTTTGTTAAATCATCCCATACTTGGACATGTCATATACATCTTTCAAAAGCTATCAAATTGTTTTTTGTAAATTAATGTGTTAATTTTGAGGTGTTTTCTTACTTTTTAAAAATGTCTCCGACTGATGTTGTCCTTTGTACTTTACTTCTTGTGACATTTAAAACACTTGCCACGTAATACTGTTACCGTCCATCCTGGATTAAATTAATGGCTTTGGCAACATCATTCGGAGACATATTCATTTTTTAAAGTAAGAAGACAACTCAAAATTTAAACATTAATTTGCAAAAAACAATTTGATAGCTTTTGAAAGCCGTGTATGACATGTCCAAGTATGGGATGATTCAACAAAACTGTCACTGTCATTCTCCATAGCCTATGGATGGACCATAGCAACCTTAGTTCCTTATACAGAAAAATATTGGAAATTGCAAGGTTTTTATTAAAAATCCATATTTTCCACAAAAATAAATGTATTGAGGTGAAAACAAAACTGTTAAGAATAGATGTGACTTGATAATTAAAACTTAATTTAGAACAATATACGGTTTAGACACTCTACAGAGTGTCTTAAACTTATGGTAAAAAACATCTTTTTGTTTAAACCTGTATATTATAAAAAAAAATTCCATTTTTTTTAAAATGTGAGCGATTGTCCATTAATTTATCTACAATATTCTTTAATATTCGTTTAAATCCGACATCAAATAAACAAGTTATTTGCGATTGAAATTCATCGAAAATTTGTGTGGATCGATTATTTTGCCTGTGAGTGTACTTAAAAAAGTAAAAACCAAACACCCTGTATTTCCTATAATGTAATATTTAAAAGAAATATTTTATCTATTTTGCGTTCATAATGACTTCATTATAACACCGCTTTCGGTGCTTTAATGAGATAGTTTACCCCTCCAAAAATTTTGATTTTATATTTTGGTTATACTTTAAACAGCATACTAGTAAAATAATATTTTGCATATTGGTTATACTATTTTTATGTTTAACACTAAAGAAAATCCTTTTTTTCTTCTTTAACATTAACAGCCGCTTATTGTAAATAAGTAAATTAAGGACGGCACTACTATCTAAAGTAAAGTTCGACTAAATTAAATATAAGGTATAAAATAATTTTTTTTTATAGAATTTTTGCAAAATAGATAAAATAGCATAAAGAACTCATGTCATAAGACCTTCGTTGCTCGTTTTATAAATTGTCCGCGTGCGACAAAATGACGTCTTATGACATTAGTTATTAAATTAATATACTATTATATCATATTACGTAGACCTCCCTGTACATATCAAACAATTTAAATGATTCAAATTGATCTATTATTTGATATTTGAAAATTTTGGTAAGTAAAACTAAAGGACGTGTCAACAAGAACCTTAATTTTGATTTATAAAAATACAGTACACAGTTAGTGTAGTAAACCAAATTTAAACTTGAAACATGTAATATAAAAATTGACATTTAAGGAAATTTTAGAAAAACATTTGGGACACAAAGGAAGAATTTACTTAATACTTAAATCTGGCTCTAACTGGATGGCATACGTAAAACAATGACGTTATTTTGTTTTGAAAACCTATACTAGCCACTTAAAAGTTGGAATTTCAGCTTCAAGGTCTATAGAATTTTTCTCGAGGAAGACTGGTGACAATAGTTTCCATGTTAAATGTCATCATTTGGACGATTTCAGAAATTTTGAAAAATTTCATTACAATAATGTTATTATTTTAAATCAAAAAAATAAAGTTCTTGTTGGTCATGTAAAAGGAACAACTTTCAACTTTGAGTATCATTTTTATGATATAATAAATAAACTATCAAAAGATTTTTAAAAATGTTTTTTTCAAAAAATAGTGTTTTTTGTAAAAACTCACCCTCTTACTAACGCCTAAGACACTGTAAAAATATTTGAGGTTTTTTTGTGCGGGTTTTGCAGGATGTAAGAGAGAGGGATTTAGAGGATGCCGGATGTGACCCGCTCAGACTCCCAACGATCCGACGTATCGAGTAGGCCACGCGTGTCCTTCAACAGGGACGTACATGTCAAACGCATCGGTACGAAAACATAACTTAAATTAATTTGAATGACTAAATGTTGTTTGTTAACTAAAACGTACTAAACAAAATTTACTGACAAAAAAATTAACCATTTTTTAGATCTTATAGATTCTTAAGTGTAAAAAGAAAATTGGGTAGCGTTTATTCTGCAAAATACTAAAAATATTTCTATAAAAATGTGTCTAATCTTACAGACGAGCATTTTTCGAGTTATTAATGATTCAATTTTAAGAAACTCGGTTGGTTCTTATGGAAACAATTTAAGTAAGACATATGAGGTTGACATGGTTGATAAATGCAACTTTTTATTTTTGAAACTTGATTTGAAAACTGCTCTTAATCCTTTTAATTAAATATATAAATACTTCTTCAGAGATAATAAATTTTAATTTGTAACCTCTTATAACTCAAAAACTACTCGTCAAAATAGTATATTATGTATCAAATTTGATAAACTCCATTTTAGTCACGAATTTAATTTACGCACGAGCGAGCATGCGAGCGAGTGCTTAATTAAATGAAAAGAAAAGTTTATAAATAAGTTCCATACTATTATAGTATAATACTTTTTTTTACTCCTATAACGGAATTTGACCCTTCTAATATCACTTTTATCTATGGAATGACATATATTCCGTATAGTGTTACAGAATGAAATATTCTATAATCTGATGACAGAATGAACACTCGTGGCGACATCTCTGTTTTTAATATCTAACAAATTTTAGACCGATCCAACCTCACTTTCTTCCAATTAAATTATTTTTCTATGGTATTTTTTGGAAACGTAGAAAAAGTACCTATAGTCTGAAACACGTTTGGAATTGCATATTCCGCTCTCGTGAAACCGTCAAACTCGCCTTCGGCTCGTGTGACAACTCTTCACTAGAGCGGAATATGCTGTATTCCAAACTTGTTACAGAATATACTATTCTACTACAAATACTTATTATTACCTAAAAATGATTTAAATTTAATATTTGTATAGAGCGGCATCTATATAAAAATAGTGTAACCGTAAGAATGGAAATCTTTATTATAGGTGGCAAATGTCAAATTTGTCTTTGTAAATCAAAATGTATCCCTTAAAAATGGACTAACAACCGTTTAAATTCGAAATACAGTAAAAGTGAAGAGAATGTTTTATAAGCACTCCACGGTGGAGTCTCCACGAAAAATGTTTAATGATTTATCTAGTTTACTGCAGGCCACAGTCTTATATAAGACCGTGTTGCCGGGAAATCAAAAGGTCAGTAAAAACGTACATAATATGTACGTTTTTACTGACCTTTTGATTTTATATTATAAACTTTTTTTTAATATTGGCGTTAATAACTATTTAATATTTTTGTGATTGTATGACATTTGACAACTTGACTAAAAGTTAACTTCAGTCCGCGACTAAACACATGTTGGACAGCCGGTGATTAAAACTCCATAAAACCACAACTTGTCAATGTGTATTTAAAAGATCATAGGTGGGAGTACAAAATAGTATATTATGTATCAAGTTTGATAAACGCCATTTTATAGAAAAATTTATAAACGAGGTGCATACTATACTTTTTCTACGACAAATACTTATTATTACCTTAAAATGATTTAAATCAAAAATTTGTATAGAGCGCCATCTATGAAACAATAGGGGAAACACAATTATAAAGGTTATACATCAAAATGTATTTCTTGAAAATTGACAGTTTTTCACAGTGAAAGTAAAGAAAATATTTTATGAGGACTTTACAGTAGAGTCCGTGCCCGAATTTAAGTTATAGTTTACTGCCGGCGAAATTAAAAGGTCACTACAATGTTCATATAAACTTTTCAAATATTGGCGTTGAGAAACTATTTAATACTTTTGTATTTTTGTATTGAGATAATAAAATAATTTTCACATTTAGTATTATTTTACAAGAAAGGCACTTTATTTTAACGATTGTATGACATTTGACAACTGTCAACTAACTTAAAACTAACTTCAGCCCGTGACTAAAAACATGTTGCTAACTTCAGCCCGTGACTAAAGCGCCGTAAAGCCACAACTTGTCAATATGTATTTAAAAGGTCAGTTAGTGTCATGGAAACATGTACGATAAAAGGCGTTTTAAAGGTGGGAGTAGAAAAAAGGCTTTAGTGAGAATTTTCTGGACACCACGTATAAATTGCAAAATTATTCTTACTCAACAAATTAAATATTATATAATATCATAAATATATTCATGAATTGTGTACTATGATGACTTATTTATTGGTTTTTCCTATCAAGTGTACCATTATTACACATTCCTCGCTGAATTTATCACGCCAAATTACAGTAGTAAAAACAATAACGTTTTCTTCAGCCTTATAAAGTAATTTGCCTTAAAAGGATATGATACGACCTCGAAATAATAAAATATTCACATTTTAGCGTAGGCCGACCATAACAAATGTTTTCGTCAACTTAAATAAATTCTAATGATCTCATGTTTTTTGATGACCACGATTTAGTGGAAACGGAGTTTTGTTGCTAAATACAGAAGAAGAAGATTTAAGATAATAAATTTAATTAAGTGGGTTTCCACGACAGGTCCTATAATTAAAAAGTAACAGTTACCAGCCACAGCAGTTTTACTCAATAATTAAGAAAGTAGGCCTATAATAGTATATTATGTATCAAGTTTGATAAACGCCATTTTAGACACGAATTTAAATTAGACACGAGCGAGAGTTTAATTAAATATTTGTATAGAGCGACATCTATAAAACAATAGAGTAACTAACTTGGGAATCTTTGTTGTGGTGAAAATGTCAAATTTGTATGTGTAAATCGAAATGTATCCCTTAAAAATAGACAGCTTATTAATTAATTCTAGTTTACTGCCGGCAAAATTAAAAGGTCAGTACAATGTTCATATAAACTTTTCAAATATTGGCGTTAAGAAACTATTTGAACTATTGAAATAATAATAGTTATTTGTAAGTGTTGAAAAGCGACTTTTTAAGTATTTCAAAAATGGCAAACTATAAAGAAACTTTTTTTAAAACAAAAAACCAATTTTATCTACTCCTATTGCCTAATATTGGGTTTTTCCGTGAATAATAATAAACATTATAAATTCTCTGCCTAACAACGGTTATAATGAGCTCATTATTCACGTTGTTAGGCATCAGGGATTGGCCGATTTCAATATTCACTGTGATTTGAACCAATCGGGTGACTATAATAACATTAAAAAGTAATGTTAACTATTTGACAGATTTCAGATTTTATTTATTTATTTTTGAAAATCATTTAATTATCTACTTATTGAAGTAGATATAGTATAGTACCACCAAAGTATTTACTCGGATGATTTAAGTCTCTCGTCTAGCGACTCGAAACATAAACTTCACTACTAAGGTGCACTTTAACCTATAGGCTGTAAAAATAATTTTGACGAATTATAAATTTAACTACTGTTAGATGTAGGTACCTAACATACCTTCTTATTTTACTAACTACACAGGTCTGCGATGAAAACATTTTTTGAATACTTTTATATAAAACGTATAGATTTTGGCGCACTTATTCCAAATATAAGCTTCGTTTTAACAGATCATAATATACATACCTATGCACATATTTTGGTGATTTATCTTAAACGAACATTATTTTTTTATTCTTTAGAGAGTTCTCCGGAATTCGATCTTGAATTATCAACCCCCGATAAGGGTGAAAATTGCATAATTTGGGGTTCCACCATATTGAACAAATCATAATCACCTGATATGGACAATTTCTTCATCATTCTATATATATTAACTGTACATATGTACAGCGCCGGATTTAGGGGGGGTCTTTGGGGGTCTATAGACCCGGGGCGCAAGCTTACAGGGGGCGCAAAATTTTTGACTGGTAATTTTTGTTTTTTACTACAACCTAAAGGGTTTTCCCCTTTTTTTATTTTTCCTGTATTAATCAGTTTTAATAAAAAAATTATTTAAATTATAACCGTGATTGTTGCCATAGTATTATTATCTATGCATAGTATACGAAATATATATTTCGTATATACGTATATTACGTAATACGTGACATGACATATGTCATGTCACGTATTACGTAGGGCGCCCGACAAGTTTGGCGACAAGAACTTTAGTTTGCAGAAATTGATTATTTCCACCGATGCGATGCGTATGGGCGTAAAGGTTTTTTAATATAAGAATATTTTATTACCCTACGAACAACTATTAATTTAAATTAGTTTAAAACTATAGTTATATAAGGTACCAGTCATATATATATGTATCTATATATACAGTAGGGTGCTTAAAAAAAATTTTTTTTTCGCTCTTACCCTCTCAAATGTTTTTATTTAATATAAAAAAATCCTCACCAAATATGGGCGTTCCAGCTCAACTCTAAGAGGTCGCTGTTTTTATTTTAGTTTCCCATTGAATTAACATGGAAAAAAATTAATTTATGTTTTGAATTTTATACCTCTGTATCAAAGTAACTTATGGCAATGATCATCAGCGCCGGTGAGTCAGTTTCTTATATAAAATTTAACGCTCTACAAAAAAGGTCTCTTATTATTTTTCGATAAATTAATTTCTTCTAGAGTTATTCGAAGTCAAAGTTTGATAATTATCAAATTTTCTGGTACAATTAGCAGACGGGAGGTGAAAGGGGGAAAACTTTGACCTCGAATAACTCTAGAAGAAATCAATTTATCGAAAAATAATAAGAGACCTTTTTTGTAGAGCGTTAAATTTTATATAAGAAACTGAAATGATCATTGCCATAAGTTACTTTGATACAGAGGTATAAAATTCAAAACATAAATTAATTTTTTCCCATGTTAATTCAATGGGAAACTAAAATAAAAACAGCGACCTCTTAGAGTTGAGCTGGAACGCCTATATTTGGTGAGGATTTTTTTTTATATTAAATAAAAACATTTGAGAGGGTAAGAGCGAAAAATAAAATTTTTTGAAGCACCCTAATATACAGTATAGCTATACTAGGTATACCT